CCTGCCATTTGTTTTGATAGTTTCTATAAGACACCCATCTCTATACATCCCTGAAGCCCGCCCTATCCTAAAAGAATGAGACCTTATCTTGCTGTTATCCAGACCAATGAATTTAACAGCCTTTTTGAGAACAGCATTGAACTGGTAAGAAGTCAGAGGAGACCCATCAAAATGGCAAAAAAGGTGGTCAGTATTATTTTGGCATTGACGATAGTTAAGATAAGAGTGAATATTATCATTACAAAACTTGTTTTTTCCCTCAATTTCGATATCGAGAAATGTGCCACGACCTCTTTGATCAGTTTTCGAATGTTTCATGTATAAACGTATTTTTTCTGAACCTATAGTAATGTCATGTATTGACAGGAAATGATTTGAAGTCCTCTTGTTGCGTGAAGTGAATTCACTCACTCTAAGGAGTGCAATATATGCGAGTGAAAATGCAGCTGAAAATAGCATGTACTCGTACTGAGAGCGACAGACACTTTGTAACGCTGAAATTAACTTTTTTAATATGTCATCTGTTACAGGCTGACGTGTATCATTAGACCCTCTTGTTCGTCTTAAACTTTCAAGCATACGTTTCACCTTAAACTTTTTTGTGTTATCAACCATATCGTGAAGCTTAGTGACATAACTTATAGCAGATATGTAGCTATTTATTGTCTTATAGGCGTACTGTTGCAAGGACATGAAAGCTATATATTCTGTTATCTGATGCACTGTTGGAGGCCATTGCAGTGATACGCCTATCATACTACAAAAGTTTGAGAATGAAGATATTGCAGTGTTATATTGTTTATGAGTATTTTCTGCCAATGATACATAAATAAGTCTATCTATTTCTGGCTGAAGAGACGTAGAAAGGCCTTTGGTATACTGCATGGCTGTTTTGCTGCATTTTCTGGTAATTCCTGATACAGCCTTGCCCACTGAAAGCGACTTATAGAATCAGCGATTGTGTTTAACTTTGTGCTAACATGTTTACCTTTGAACTGAATATTATTTTGTAGTATGGAAAGCATTAAAGGTCTAATCAGATTCATAACTCGCTTGTTTTTTGACGATTTTTTATTCAAAATATGAACTAAAGACTCATTATCAGACCGAAACATAACCTTTTTGTTTTTCATTTCATTGCCCCATAACTCGAGAGCTAGAACAATAGGCACGAGTTCAAGATATGTAATCAGGGTTCCCACTCTTAGATATTTTGAAAATTTAAGGACTTTTCCAGGACTTATCAAGGACCTTTTTTGATTTTTTAAGGACTTTTTAGAAGATAAAATTTCAAGCTATTTGATTTTTTTTGTCCTTTGAATATGTTCATGGTAATGTTTAGCAACACCAATATAATACATATAGTTCATGACATAAATCTAACTCTATCTAAGAAATACATTCAGTGTCTATAAATAATGAAATGTACTTTGTGACAGAAACTGTTTTTGCAGGTTGTGTGCCATTTTCATGTAATTTTGCTGTTTTTAATGTTTCAAGGGATCACTTTTTGACCAGATATTCATAGTACTTATTAAATAAGTTACCACACATTTGACCTCAGTCCACTTAAAGGCTTCAAAGAATGGCAAAAGCATGTCACACTGAAGGGTAAAATTATGAAAACTGCCTGCAGGTGATTCGACATTCAAAATTTCACAACTTTCATGTTTAAATGTTGTATTCTGCTTAAGTCAGTGCTACGGGAGGGGGGCGGTGTTCAAAAATGTATATTTGGGTATGTTTGATTACATCTTAGTGAAATTGTATATTGTATTCATGATTAAAACACAATTTTATTAGTACAACACATTATTTTTAGTATATATTTGCTATACTTAGGTATTTCGTGCTACCCGTGTGGCCAATTGGCTGTGCTCTGCCTTTACAATAGTTCATGTATGTAATCAGGGCTTCCACAAAATTCCAAAATTTGGAAGTCAGACACTGCAAAATCTCTGATATTGGAAGTCACATTATATAGGTAAAGAAGGAAAAGTAGAACTTAAAGAAGTCACAAACCAAAATCAGGGAGTAAATGACTCCCAAACTTCCATTAATGGACGCCCTGTATGTAATACTATTGTTAATTTTATATTGATATACCTTTGGCTTTTATCATGGTTGTGAGCAAATAGGATAAAAAACATTGGCCAAGGAAACAACCATACCTGTGAGCTTTCATCTTTTTCATGTGCTTTGAGCACAGGCCAATCAAGCAAACTTGAGGTCTCTATTTGTGACTGTCTTATAAGATTTTCCAAACAAAACCGCAATAGTAACCAGAAAATAAATGTTAAATCTCATAAATATCAAAATTGGCCTCTTAAAACACTTGTAAATCGAAAAATCATCAACATTCAAGATGCGGAAATCAATATACTGTGCTAAAACCGCCATTTTGGTTGTTTGATTTACCTCCCCTTTTCCAGACTAATTCCCGTACCTTCCCGGACTTTTTTCTGTATCAACACTAATTCCCGGACTTTTCAAGGCCGGGAGCTAGTGTTTTCAAATTCACGGACATTTCCCGTTTTCCCGGACAGCGTGGGAACCCTGTACAGTAATGTCCCTAAAAATAAACTCCTCCCAGTGGGCTGGCCACTTAAAGGCACACCACTGACCTTTAAAGTAGCAGCCACAACCCAATTTTTTGTTGCCGGAGGCGTCAGTGTAGAGTTCAATAAATGTATTCTCTGACCAATTCTTCTCATTAAACATGGCGAGTCCGTTAAATTCAGAAAGGAATGTGAGCCAGGTCATGGCGTCATCGCGCATGTCCCTGTTTACACGTATAAAATGAAAAGATTTTTTAACCTTAGACATAGAATCATAAAATCTTCGCAAGAAAGCTCTACCAGTAGGAATAGCCTTTGTGATAAAGTTAAGTAAACCTACTATAGACTGAAGTTCCTTCAAAGTTATTTTTTTTTGAAGATATAAGCCGCAAAAGTTCGTCTTTAGCTTTATTTATTTTTTCTGAGGGTACGTGAATAGTTTGATTCTCCGCATTTATTTCAAGCCCCAAGTAAGTAATAGTTTTTTAAAGGACCTATCAACTTATCTGGACACAGAGGTACGCCAAGATCTGAACAAACGTGTTTGAATACATTAAAGAGTTCCAGACATGATTCAAAACTATCGTCTGCCATAAAAAAAAATCATCTAAGAGATGAGTCAAATTATTTTTACCAGATTCTTTTTTAACAAGCCATTCTAAAAAAGAAGCAAATTTTTCGAAAATGAAACAGGCACAGGCGGAACCCTGAGGTAACATTTTTTGCACCCAGTAACCCAGATCTGATTTAATACCAAGTAAGTCAAAGTCACCTGGCCAGACCGGACACAAGTTAAAAGCTGATTTTATATCAGCTTTGCAACAGACTGCATTTTTTCCTATACGTTGAACAATTGATACTGCTTCGTCGAATTGTGCATACTTGACATGCCGATAATCTGGTTCGATAAATTCATTTACGCTGTTATTTGGCGGAAATGACAAATTTGTGATAAGTCTCCAGTCACCAGAGCGTTTTGGAACGAGCCCAACAGCATTAATTCGCAAATTTGAAATAGGTGGTTGCTTGAATGGTCCGACAATCCAGCCAAATGTTTTGTCCTCATATAATTTTTTATTTAAGACTCCTGGATTTTGTTTAGCTGACGCGAGATTATCCGAGAAAACTGGTGCTCTTGGACCAGTATAATTTAATTTAAACCCATGTTTAAATCCAGATAATATAAAAGAAGCATCGTTTATATTGTAACCTGTCAATTGTTTTTTAAGGGTAATTATATTAATTGGTGTTAAACCTAGGCCCCATAAATCTTCTGTTTGAGGAGAACAAACTTGGTACTGGAACTGTGGGAACTGTGGGGGAGTTGCCGAGACTGAAACGATTAGGCCTAGTATTTAATCTCGAAGCATCTTGTGAATACGTAGGGCCCTGTCGTATCTGCTTACTATTAATTCTGCACTGTAATGCTGGGTGATTACCAGAGCATTTTATACACTTATGTGCAAAAGAACAATTTCTGTTGACACAAAAGCCCTTATTATTTAAAGGAAAACACTTTTTCGAGAAAGGGGGGGGGGACCGACTGAATTGGTTGCATGGACAACATCCAGAGTTCTGGATCGATTGTCTCCCATCTTAAAGATTCGTTGACAGATTTTTTCAGCCTAAAGCTAGAGTCGTAGGCGGCCCAACCAATATGCCTGGTTGCTGCCTGTCGTATGTTTGCCATGTATTGTAGCAAATTGCCAATTTCATCAGGATGCTTTAGTATATATATAGCAATAAAGATATGAAAAGCATCTGTCCAAGATTCAATGTTTTCAAGACTTTTGGGCGATTGTTCATTGGGACATAGGATCAGCTCACCATTTTCAAATTGTATTTTTTGTTTTCCTGCAGAATCTGGTTTAACTTTAGGAAGCAGATGCTGTAATTCTATATAATTATTGCACCATATTTTCTCTTTGATAGATTGAGAAACATGGGCGGACAAAATAATGTTAGATTGAAAATTTACTTCACCTGAAGTTGGGGAAGAGTCATCAATTTGAACAACTTCTTGCCTTGGGTTCGGATTCGAGCCAGGTGTCCTCTGTGCTTGTCGTCTTTTCTCATTTACAGCACTGGCCAGTCTCACAGTTTCGTCCGCACGTCGTTTGGGCATTTTGATCAAGAAAAACAACAAATTGTCTTATTATAAACAGCCTATAATATTGCCAGTATATAGATTTTAATGATCAATTCTTATGTTTATACTATATTGATAATAAGGAATAGTATAAATGTATAGCCTTTTCGGATAAACCAGGCCACGTGGTTATTTTCCCATTTCGTTTATTTAAAATTAAATCAAAGCGAGATTTATAAAGGTTTATATAAGAAGAGCACTTCAATAGTTAACGTTTCTTATGTTTATACTATTGATAATTTGGAAAAGTTATAACTGTATTGTCCCTTTCGGATAATAGGGCCACGTGGTTATTTTCTATTTTTTCATTTAAAATTCAATCAAAAAACGAGATTTATAAAGATTGACATATAAAGAGCACTTAAATAGTTAACGTTTAAAATAATAATTTAAACTTTACAATTAACATCCAAAAATTAAAACCTAATTTAAGATTTTTACAAAATATTAAAATATGATCAGCAGCTACCTTTCTCATAGAGTTCCAGAACGAAAAGGAAGCAGCGGGCTCGCGCAGCTCCTTATATATAGTGTTCTAAATATAGCTCCAAGACTGGGCATGCGTATTGATACGCAGTTCTACTGATCGATAAATTAAGAAATGTGTCATTCATGTAAAATAAAAGAGTTTAATCTTGAATGATTAAACTTTGATATTATATTTAGAAACGATAATCAGATAAAATACAGTATATATATATCATGAAAGTTCGTTTTAAGTTCCTTTTCATTTACGTGTTGACGATCGAGTAACAAGAAAGGTTTGTACATAAATTGTACTTTCATTCTCACAGTTTAAAATTGAAGGATATAATCACAGAATCAACAAAAACATATTTTTATATATATTTATAGATACATTATATTACGCTTAAAGAAAGATTTTTTTCTACTTTGTCTTTGTCAAAGTTTTTACGAGTATATCAATTTATTATATACTTTTAAATGAAATAATGAGAAATGTTGATGAAAGAAAATGCGTATTTTCAGTTTCCGTATTGTAATTGTAAAACTGTACTTTCCACAACGGTTAAACATCTTTTCTGTATTTTCACTGGTGTCTTGACGGACTACTTTCTTCATTTAAAGGGGTAGTCTTTCGAATTTTAATGTTCTATAAGCACAGGATTTATTTTCAATTTCTAGTATGAGAATGAATATCGCCACTCACGAAATAATTATTTTCATACCACTCGATGAAATTAAAATGAATTATAAAAAAGCTTGAATATCTTCTATTTATTATATATATAAATGAAATATTGATGAATATTGATTAAATAAAATGCATATTTTCATTTTCCGTATTTCGCAGTGAAACATAATTTTAGTACAAAACATATAGTGTTAATTTAGTTCTCTGATGTTACACTCTAAGTGCTTAATTTAATTTCGGATTTAAGATAAATAGAATATTCCAACAATAAATTTATTAAATCACGCATAATATAATTTTATACAACTCGTTCAATAAATTTAATAATTAATCTGAATTCTTTTAATATTTACCTTGTTGAATTAAACATATTTAATTTATTACGTCATTCCGGAACAGATTTTTTTTTGCTTTTCTCGTGTTAGTGATTCATACATGTACGGACGGACGGACGGGTTTATATTCAATGTATATATTCTTTAATACGATACTAGAAAGAGATTATGCTATTTAAAATAGTTTACTTTATTTTAAATATATTTGTGCACATTTTATTTAAAAGGCACACAGTGCCTCAGAAATGAATAAATTTATTCGTCTTTTTGAAAAGCAAACACGAGTTTTAAAGCATTTGAATACAAAATGGTTTAGGGGCATGTTAGTTGCTTGGATTTGCAAAACATTTTAAGACTAAAAGGGTCTTTTAAAGTTGATTAGCGCTGATAAACGGTTAATTTTGTTTGTTTGTTTGTTTGTTTCATTTTACGCCTTTTCCCAACAGTGTTTCAGTCATATAGGCGGGTAGTTTCCTAACCATCGTTCCTGGAGAGTTACACCAGTACTAGACTACCTTCCTCCGCGCTAAACTACCAAAGCATCTCCCGGGGAACGAACCCACGCCAGAGAGATAACTGGATTAGAAGTCATCGACTCTAACCCCTCGACCACGGAGGCGGTTTAAACGGTTAATAACATCGCTAAAATACACTGAAATAGTAACATTAATATTGTTCAGAAACAATTTATTCTGTTTACGCACAATATTCATGTGTTTTAAATAACTTAGATATTATATTTGTTACAAAACTATTTTGATAGCGAGCTCGAAGGGCCCGCTCTACGGTAATGCGAGTACCTGCTAGATAGTGATGGTTTTGCGAAGTACCGACTTGACACATCGCAACCTTTCGAGTTACAAGATAACGATAAAAGCTGAGGTATTCTGATTGAAAACGGAAGCAGCGTAGACTGTTGTCCTGCGCACTTATATGGGAACCATAATAGGACAAGGAACCAGAATAAACGAAAGCAGTGTATAAAATACCGAAGGACAATTTTAAAACGGAAAATGTAAAATAAAAATGAACGGTTATTTTATACTATTTCACAGTTAAAGAAAATCGAGCTCGCTTTGAGGCTCTCCCTTTTTCATATTAATCGACCATAAATGTATGGAAACAATAAAGTCTTTCTAATTTATTTCTTTAACTTATACAAAACGACTACTTCTAAGGGGGGCAACTTCACAAAAACCAAATTTCAGCAATTAACTGAAGAATTGTCTCACTTAGCTATAATATAATTATATTATGCGAGCCTCTGGCGAGCATAATATCATTTTATTCAACGAGTTCAATAAATTTATTAATGAACTTACACGAATTTAATATTCTTTTTATCACATACCAAAAATAAAGACCGTTTGAAGTGATATAGAAACATTTTTCATTAATGCGCTTAAAGTAGTGTAATGCGTCTTAACGCTATGTTTATATAACGCGAATGAAGTCACGTCAAAATAAATGCACGGCCGTGCAATACCATATTTATGGAGTCGAAAAAACAGCAAGGGTGTGTGACAAATAGCTTTATGCCCTTAAAACAGTTTTGATTAAGAAACTAAAGAGCTTTTATCAAATGTCGATTTTGGGAGAATATTAAATCGTTCTAATAGCTGACACAAAGCAGTAGCAATGTGATGAGGAACACCGCAAAATCAGACTTAAATAGCGCATAACATGTCGTATATTATTATAATTACTTGGTACTTGATACTTTTTACTTTTCTTAAAATCTTAGAACATGTTCTCAATTTGGAGTTTCTTCAAATAGGTTGGCTCATCGTGAGGCATGCACCTTTAATTGTTTTTTCCGGGCGTACTTTTCATATGCATCTTTAAATAGTTCTATGTTTATCTGAAAACATGATTCTTTTTTTTTCCAAATATTACTTTGATTTAATTTCAAATTATGACTTTTTTATTCTGATAGGTATATATAAAATATTTATTGTTTGGCAATATTGACCTGAGAATTTTTACCGTTCGAAAAGATTTTCGTTAGTTTCCGTTACTTATTACGATTTTCGCAAATAGTGTTTTAATAACAGAATAGTTCTCGGTACTTAGGGATGGATGGCCTAGTAGTAAATGCGACGGAATTGTGACAATAGAGCTGTTTGCATCTTCGACAAAACATTTTTAAACTGTTTTTTTTTCTTTTCTTTAAATCCACTGAGGTTTAATTGGAAAATATTTTTTTTGAGAATATTATTCCATTTAATGAAGATCTAGACAAATAAATTGTGTGCACATTTTCGGATCATTTGCTCACTCCGTTTTCCTTATTGATTTTTCTAATTATGAAAATGACCCAACGGCTATGAATTGGAAAAAATACGATTTTCAATTTCTGAATATATTAATTAACTATATTTAGCACATCTTTCTGGGTTTTTTTTGCGTCCGAGCTGACCAATGTAAGAAATTCAAATTTTATGTTTTTAAGCTTTTGGACTTCAGCGGAGTTCCTTTATAAAATAAGTCGTTTATTTTTTATTTTTGTTATTTTGATAAATACATAATTTTTCATTTCATAGATTTTAATCCATTACAAATATTTCGAATGTATGGTCAAGTGTTTTGCTGGTAATTTTAACTGTTGTGCTCTACATTTAAATCCCGTACGGTTCATTTCGGAATTCGATAATCACCGACAACCGGTCATTGAATATTCAGATAAATCAGGTAAATATTGCCAAACAATACGCTGACCATTATCGTCACCGCTGGTATCCCATTTTTTTTGTATACATGTATATACGTGTATATCCATTTGCACCAAGGAAACATTCAAGCAAGGTAAATACTTTTTTTACTTATTTATGAAGTTGTGCAACGTTCCTTTTTGCAATCCCATATGCAAACGACTACAGGTTCAATTCACTGTTAAATTGCGAAGAAAAATGATGTTCAGATTGTTTTATAATACCTTTGTATATGCGTTTGTGCTGTTTTCATGCACTGGTCAGTCCCAATGGAGTGCTGCAGGTTGCAAGAAAAATGTATCATGTTTGACCTTCCGTCTGAACTCGGACAGATGCATCAATGCGTCGGGGTTTTAATTGGTGCCTTATCTCTTAACAGCGGATGTTCCTATATCGGTCGGGGCGGGGGAGGTGCAGGAAGGGGGGGGGGGGGGGATTAGGATAAACGAAAGTATGGGTCGCCGCTATTTCCCGGGTGAAGAGAAGGGGTAACAATTGATTGACTAGAGAAAACAAATCAGATTATACATGTATCTGCTTTTACACGGACATAACAGGATTTGGACAGACATTGTCTTTAAGTGGAGCATAAAAACCTGTTGGTCACATTTAACTCATGAAAATTGTAAGCTTGGATATCAAGGCGTTCTTTATATAACTGTAAAAACATGTGCCAACATTGAGGCCCGTATCACTTACTAGATAAAACAACCGATAAAAAACCTCTCATATTAATATATCAGTGACTTTGAATATGAATAATAGAAGTGACTTCAAGAATGGGGTAAATGTTTACACCAGGGGTATGAGGTTGTAGGCCTTCTACATTTCAAACCTGTAATTTTAGCTTACGGAACGTCAGTGCCCGTTCCACTCAGGTGTCCGTTCGTTCCTCTAATAAGACACGGAGGTGCAACTGGGGTCTTCTTCCACCAGTAACAGTAAAGCTGGAAAATCGCCATAAGACCGCTTATGTGACCCCCCCAGAAAACAAAATAGCAATAGCTTATAATTTATAGAAATCTACATAAAAACAAATATTTCGTTTTTATCAAACATCTTTCGTATAGAAAATTTCTAATTTCGTCTAGATTCTACATGATTTTTGAATAATTGAGAAGTAGTACTAACGACCCTCAGCACCGTGCCGTCAACGTCACGTCTAGAAGATTGAGCTACGACGTTTGTTCAATACAGGTCTTTCGATCGGTTGAAATTAATAAGTACAATGTCTGTATTAGAACAAGTGTATTTCGCTTTGCATTGTCGCTCCGTTTACTTATAGACCGTTCTCTACACAAAATATTTCGGAAATCATGCTATTTATGAAATACGAGATATATACACACGAAACGGTTAATTACCCCTGCAATGCCCACTTCCGACAGTGTTGAGGGGCCGTTTTCAAACACAACAGACTAACCGGTGCTTCATTACACTGCGTAAAAAACGCGGGAATCCCAATATTTAATTTTGATGACGTCAGACATTTATAACGTCATCACTTTTATTAGGACAGAATGCGTTCACAAAGCTATGTTTAGATCTCAACTATGAATTTTTTTTCACCCTGGTTTGGTAAACCAACAGGCCGCGCTTTGCACCAACCTCGTGTATTTGAAATTGACCGCCAAATCTACAGTAAAAATGACCGGATTTAACTGACGTTTTCAGCCTCAGGTAAAGAACTTTTATGTACAGTAGATCTACTTTATTTTCCATACTGTACAGTAGGCCTACGGTATAAAGTACAGTAATAAGAACTTTTTACGTTAGATCTCAATTACTTAGTTAACGGAACGTCCACACCATTTGTCCACACAAGGAAATCGTAGATCTTTTTAAATATCACGAGGAAATGAACAATTTCGATAATTTACCAATAAATAAATAAATTCACACACTTGTCGAGAAAAAGTTATACAATGGTTCTGACCCTTTTATACTTTTCAATATAGATCTATTAATTTTAGGTTCTTCAAATTTAAAATAACTCTCCTAATCGACTAAGTTCCCTCAATCTTGAGCGCTGTCAATTTATGTGCTGGCTGTACCTTACCCTACGTTAGAATGAATTTTCATCCTGATTGAGATACTTTAAAACAAATAATTTCTAATGATCAGTTCATTTTCGTCTGTATGTTTTAAATCCTGTCCGATGGCAGCCGCCATTTTTTGCCATAAAAGATCTATATATATTTCTTTATTTCCTCCAGTTTTGAAGAGTACATACATATACAATACATTTCTTACAAAAAAGTACATAAATCATTACATGTACATAAATGTATGACTGACAAACATATAAATACATGTATAATTATATAAATGTAACAAATATTGAATAAACACAGAATTGATAAATAATATAAATAAGGTAAATAATTATTTAACATAGAAACAATATATACATATGAGGACGCAAACGAAAATTTTGAAATATTGTATTCTCCAATATAATAATATAAATAAGGTAAATAATTATTTAACATAGAAACAATATATACATATGAGGAAGCAAACGAAATTTTTGAAATATTGTATTCTCCAATATATCCTCTTGCTAAAGATTCTTATCGAAACGAAACAAAAGTATCTTGGGAGGATATACAATATAGAGGTACCTGTAACAATGGTTAATACATGTACTTATAACGAAATTAAACAAATACATATATATTTCACATTCACAGCCAGTTCATCGAATATACACCTTTGATGAAAGCTTTGAAACTATACACTCTAGTCTCGTCGCTTAGATAAAAAGATGTAAAACCACGAAACATTTCAATGATCTGCAGGTCAGGGGAAAGTGCAATTAGGTTTTGAAAAGTTTCTATGCCCATAATTTTTGATAATGTAACCCATAACTTTGCCCTCTTTGACTCATTTGAGGGGCAAAACAATAGAATATGTTTACATATATCATTTGTCATTAGGTTACAACTTTTGCATCTCATATCATATTTCCTAGAAAAATATCGGCACATTAGAATAAACGTTGATGTACACTCTGCCTGTAGGTTTCTATAACTGCGACTGAAGTGCCAAAGAATACATGGTTCAAAAACAGGATGAACAAGGAGGAATTGTTTCAAACTTTGATCGCATAGTACACGGTTTTTCCAATCAAACTCTATAGAGCTATTGATTGTCGATTTGACCAGCTGTGCCTGATCTTCTTGGATTTCAATCTCCGATTTTATTCTCTAACGCAATGACCTCCCCTGACACTGGCCGTAGCGTTATTGGTGCGCGGAGTTTGCTGTACCTCTAGAGGCTTACAGAAATCATAATCACAAAGTAGAAAATATTGCTTTTTTTCCCAATTCTTACATTTTTTTTTATCTAGATCTATTATTGTATATAAACCGGTGTGAATGATAATATCTTATTGTTGCGGTTGCGGTTCAGATCGGAATATCCGTCTTGAGGGGACGGCAACGAGGCTTGCTATGAGCACAGGGGTGGAAAATAAGGTTTAGGCGGCAACAATTCTTTATTCCGCGTAGTCTCGTATGAAAGTAAAAGGGATATAATAAAGAATTACCTGATAAACACATGTGAAGCGAGGTTTTTATGCCGCCATATTGTCTGTACGCGTAACCGTAAAAGTCACGTGATTCCCTACCGTGATTATTCTCGAGGGGAAATATTTTCAGTTTTAGGGGAAAAAACACACTGTTTAAATGGGGCCCATATTCGACCGCCAATTGTACCAAACGAGAGCCCTGCCGGTATATTGAGATTGAGTAGACAGTTAAAATGAGAGTCGAAGTAGGCCTTATGTGTTTTTAAAGTTTAAACTACTTAAATTTGTCTTTTTTCTTTTGTTTTAGGAATGTATCTTTCGTCATAAAGGCGTAGGGTGTCTCAGGCTCAGGTGACAAATTGTGTTCACTTTTAAATGTAGACGTCATCTAAATGTACTTATTGAAGGTACATACAGGCCGGTACACTGGACAAGTGTTCATCTACATGTCCGTACGAAACGTACAGAGGGGCAAGAATAGTGGAAAGGTGTGGAGATATTTGCTTATGTTGCTTATGGTGGCGATATATATTATCGGAATAAAACGGATTATATACCAGCGTATTACATTCCGTGCCAATATAAAGATTTAAACGATACAGACGTTAAGTCTTAGATTCAATCAAAAGAACATTTTTTCATGAATATATAAAAGGAGAACCTTGAAACGAGCAGGTTTCCGTTACTTCTCGGCGAAATTTAGGGTTTGGTATATATAACTGATATCAAAATACACTTATGTCAACGTCCTCTTCGCAGACGACATCAAATCAACAGACGTCAAGGAATCATTCTACTTTAGTTGCGCAACAAACCACAGCTGAGCACCAGCCCCAATCTGAGAACGAGCAGACGACACCAAATGGAGAGACGCTTCCAGAGCAGCAGACGTCATCTGGGCAGCACGCGACATCTGAGCAGCATGCGACATCTGAGCAGCACGCGACATTTGTACAACAGTCATCTGTGCAGCAGACGCTATCTGAGCAACTTGCGACATCTGAACAGCAGACAGCATGCGTGCAGCAGACTTCATCTGAGCAACAGACCACAACACTTTCATCAAACTCAACATTTAGTTTTGAACCTATGATGACAGTTATTGACAAAATAGCAGACGGACAACGAGTTCCGCCACAGACTACTATGAAATATGAAATGTTAAGGTTTTGCACCCTTCGATCTTTTCCAAAAGGGAACAAACCTTATATTACCAGATTGGCTGCTGCAGGATTTTATTACGCAAACGAAGGCGATGAAGTCGTCTGCTATTGTTGCGCGCGACGTAGAAGAAATTGGACAGAATTCGAAAATCCTATCGAAGTACATAGAGAATTAAATCCAAACTGCAGCTTTCTCACTCGTAATTCTGAAGTTAATTTCTCAGTCAGACAAAGTATTGAAAGCTCTACAACAGAATCTCACTCAAACCTGTCAACAATAAATAGAGGCCAGTCTAACACTAATTTTCGTAATGAATTAACGGAAGTGAATGTGTCGTCTGCAGTTGAGACTGGTTCACGAATTCAAACGAATCAAAACTCTGAAAACTCATCTTTTGCAAGCAATGTGCTTTCATCAAGAGGAGGGAACCAGTCTGTTTCACTACTTCCTGTTGATGTTCCGCAAACAACTACAGACAACCAGTCTTCAAATAATTCTACAGGTAGTGGTACTTTAGTCACATTCACATGTTCTTTTGTCCAACAATATCAGAAAGCGCAATGAATTATAAAACATCAAAAAAACAAAACAAAACGAAAAAAAAACAAAACGAAAAAAAAAAAAAACATCAACAAAGTTCATAATATATATATGTATCTAATTTCCTAGACTTAATTTAGTTTTTTTTTTCATTGTGATAAATATATCTTTGTTGTTGTTTTTTTATATATAAATTTCTATAACTGTGTTTCATTTTTTTATAGGAAGCGTATCTTCGTCTGTGACCCCAAAATACCCCAAGTATATCAGCACGACATCTCGGTTGTCGAGCTTCAATGATTGTGGGGACATCGTCATCCCACCAGACCGCCTCGCACAGGCCGGCTTCTTCTACGCCGGTTTTGGGGATTGTGTCCGATGTTTCCAATGTGGAGTCGGTAAGTCGGCAAATTAACACCCCTTTCTACAGTTTACATTTTGTTTTGATTTTGTATAATATACATAACTGAATCGCAGATGTAAAATACATTTATTTTTAGGAAACCTCGACTCATGTTTTTCAATTTTGATGATTGACAGCTTGTGTTTGTGTACAGTTCTTGCTTATAGACTTTGGCAAATCATGGGTTCGAGCCCTAATAGAGTCACGACCATGTTTCTTTAGATGAAACCAGTACTAGTTGGTTCCAGCAAATGAACTTGGAAGTGATTTATATAAATTGCTTGAACTTGTTTCGCATTCGAGTTTAAATATTTTTTAAAGAATTATTTGTCCTTCTTTTTCTGTAATCTATATCTATATCCCATTAACTGTTTTCATCATGATTATTTAAAACATTGTTCTATGACAACGAAAAGTCCATTTATATACTGACAACTAAAAGTTAATAAAGAACAAAGTAAACAAAACCAAGATAAGTATTCTTTAATGGGAAAAATCGCTTTGAAAATTTCAAATTTTGGTGATATAAGACAAAAAATGGATCAAGGACAATGGTTTTATTTCGCTGAAAACAACAACGTCATGATTGTGATTCTAATATTTTAATTTACTAAATATTGACAGTAAGTCGGAATATATATATAACCAGCTTATATTTAAACATACAAGGGAAAGAACTCATTACTGATTCGTTAATTTATAATATACTGGTTATATCCCTTCATTTGCGAAATCAAAGTCCTTAACGCATGCTTGTTTGTACCTCTTCAATCTTTTTTATAATTTCAACCTAGGCGCTTTGTTGGGATGTATACATATCGAAATGGAACCAATAGATTTTTGGCTTCAAATAATGTCGTCACAACGGAAAAGGTTTTTTTTCTCCGGACAAAAATGAACTCGAAAATTACCGGAATTAGTTTTATAACTTTACTGTCCGGAATAAGTCGATGTTTACCGATTCATTTGGGTTTGCCATTATTATATTGATATTTTTTTACAGGATTACGTCATTGGTCGGAGGAAGATGATCCGTGGATAGAACATAGTAGATGGTCAAATGAATGTTCATACGTACGACAGATTAGAGGAAGAGAGTTCGTGAATATCGTGCAGATGGCTGTACAGTTTTCGCAAAACGTATATATGTTAAAAAACTGTTCATAATACCCAAAATACATAATTATGAATATGTTTTATATTTGAATATATGTTATTTGTAATTGAGAACATACAAGGCTTTTAAAATCAATCGGATATAAGCCTGAATCGAAAAGGAAAAGTCAATATAACGTTTAAGAAATTATTCTGATATATTTTCTTAAATGGCTTGCATAGTTTTATTAATTATTAAACAAGGACTGGAGAGTTGAAAAAAAATCGGTTGTGTAAATTTACGTAATATTATATGTAAGAGGTTGATATTGAAGCATTATTATGTCATATGACATCATAAATATGACGTCATTTATGACACAACAAATAACCTCTGTAGCATAAAGTTAAGAGATTTGAGATTAGATACTGGCACAATATCCAACCTGCGCAATGGTCTTTGAAAAAAAAATGCACCCACAAATAGATAATGCAATATTAAGATATTTTCATAAATATTTCTGTATTTTTCAGCAAACCGGAAATGAATCAATTTCAACACAAGGAACTGAAGGCATAGATAGTTTCTTTTTCATTAAATAATAACGTTTGAAAGCATATAAAAACAAGAATTAAATATAACAATATCTTTTTTCCGAGATTCAAAACTGAGCCTTGTTTGAATATATTTTGTTTATTTTTAAATAGATCTACCTCCATATATTGATTTGATAACTTCCTTACATATACTTTAACTTAACATATCAAAACTTTGCATATCAGCAGGCAGAGGTTCCGGAAATGCGTCTGCAGACATAGATAGACTGATGCACACAAACGCTGCACAAAGCGTCTTGGAGATGGGTTATCTTCCTGACGTCATAAGAAGAGCTATCAGAATGGTCCAGTCCTCAACAGGTTTGCATAATGATTTGTCTAGATTGTTTTTTTTCTGTTTTTCTTTTTTCTTTTTAGAATTTAATGAATTTAAAACAAACTGTGATTAAAGCGTTTGCTTTGTAAACTTTGTCAAGCAATGTTTGTTAATAGTCACCAAGAATCTGAGATACGTGCTTTCCCAAATGAAACACAATATAACGCTTGATTGGTAAAACACATGGGTCCATAATTGTTTAAAATACAATGCGAGAGATCCTCAATTTAGAATTTAATGGATATTTAACATGGTTATATCTGTAGTTCTTAGACTTTTACATGCATTTGTGTTATTACGGTTTGAACCCTTGTTGGTACAAGTAAAGGAACATACTAAATTCAAAATAGTTAAATCACAAAAGTACTTAAATTTGAGTATCTTTATCTTTATAAACGTGTTAAAATAAGTATAAAGTAATCAAAACGAACTTTTTCCGAATACTTCTTTGTCACCACTCGATCACAAGTGTTTAACTTGTGGAATGTTATTGTAAATATTTGAAGATATTTTCTTTTTACATCATATTTAGATATTTATATCATTTTATTGTCTTTTTTCACAATTGCGTATATTTTTTGATGATTTTCTTTTATAATCTTTTGTATCGATTTAGTTATAATTGACAGAAACGTATCGATTATGGATTTTTTGTAATCGATCATTGCCCGCTTAGATGAAATTTCTAGATAAGTTTCGACCAACTTTCGGTTATAATCGAAATAATTGGAATGTTTAAATATCTTAGCCGAAGAAATGTATTTGTATTAAAGCTATGTTATTTTCTTATTTACAATTAAATGTTGTAGGGTTTATTTTTTATATCCTTAAATAGGACATGGAATTTTAACAGCTACAAACCTAATGGAAAAAATCTTTGAAATCGAAGATTCTGAATCTCAAGAAAATACTGTACCTGAGAACTCTGAAGAATTACGCGCACCCCATAACACAGAAGCACGTGTGCCTATTAACGCAGAAGAACGCGCACCTGCAAACGCAGAAGCACGCGCACCTGCAAACGCAGAATCACGCCAAAGTAACAATGAAACATTTACCACAACAACACAGGAAATACAAGGTGCAAGAAAAAGGCACGAAGACAAAACTACTTCTCGAAACACATCTGTAGAAAATGTTAGTGGTGCTGTTGCTAGGGGTAACGAGAAACTGCTTAATAATGGTTCGTCTAAGAAACAATTGGAAACTGCGACACGTCATAATGATGACGACAAAACGTGTTCTGGTAATGAAAGCCAAGGCAGACAACAAAACGTGTCAACTATGTCGTCAGGCGGAAGTAAACGGGCAAATTCAAAGCAGACGACAAGTCCCGCAAGCCGTAAGAAATTTTGATTTTAAGATATAAATTATCCATCTAATGATCTTAATTAACAATTAACTTAATTTATCTTGTGTTTGCATTTTTACACTACAATAACAAGAAATAAGTTTGATTTTTTACCCCCCCCCCCCAAAATCATTGTCAAAGTCTAACTGCTAATAAATCTATTTACAAACAATTATCTAGCAATGTTTACCTAGCAATGTTGTTTAGAATATAACATATATTTATTTTTAAAAGTGTTGAAACATGTGGTCTTTTGATTTTGTTTTAGTTATAATCATTCATTTTTTTTCAAATTCAACTTGGTCGCAAAACGTTTCTCATCTGTGCATATATTTTTATTGCAACTTTGGCTATAATTCTTTTTTGCCTTTTCTGTTAAAATTTGCTACTATAATTTCAAAAAAATTAATACATTTACATTTAAATTTAATCCATTTACGTTAACTTGAGCAACATTGTTTCTTCTATATTTCTGTGTATGGGGTGTATCTACGAAAATTGCGCATGCTCGAAAAATAGTTCATCTTGCATAACACGGCCCGCGTCGTAATAAAGATCTTAACAAAGGTCTATAGCTAATTTCTTTTAAACGTATTTAAGGAAAACACCATAACGATATACTTTATATATTTATAAAATTATAATTTTAAAGATATAAATATAAACGGCAAAATCTATTGACGTTTTTACTCACGAATAATCATATTTTATTTCCCTACAGGTGATGCACATATTAGGGAACAGAAAAGGCTAAAGGAGGAAAATGATATGTTAAAACAACAATCTTTATGTACAAAGTGTCATGTTAATGACGTTTGTATTGTTTTCTTACCATGTGGACACCTTGTCAGTTGTGAAACATGTGCACCTACTGTACGATATTGCACGGTGGTCACGTGCGGCAAATATATTAAAGGTACCGTGCGCACTTACCTGGCTTAAAGAACTTAAGGAAAGAAGGTTGACGTGATAGAAAATGCATATAAACATGTACGTATCTTATAGAGAAAGAAAACCAATGTTACATTATTAAAAATTTGATAAAAAGACAACATTTATGTTGAAGAATATCTTACCGTGCTAACCTATTCTTGAATTAAAAATGAATGAAAAATGTGTGGTGTATCAGGTGTGGGAATAGCATTGCCATGCATTTCATTTAATTATTTCACGGTGGTGGCAATTTATTTGTTGTGATACAGAAGTACCATATGACTGTTCAAATACTGTACATTTGTAATTATTTGCATTTTATGATTTTCTTTTATTACATGCTTTTCGGTGGTTTATAGAAATATATCAGTGATATAAAACTGGTAATTTCACTCTTTGAAACAGTGAAATTACCACTTTGATAATTTCACTGTTTTGAATTTAAGCCCGTTACGTTGTTTCAGTGAAATACCAGCGTGCACAGTACTGGGTACCAAATTAATGACGTGACGTCGTAAATGACGTCACGTTGTATTATTATTTGGCGCGCTTTTCATTCAGTATTAGATTTAATGTATTTTTAAAACGTTTATTTGCATATAATAAAAAGAAAATTTGTTTTGTTTAGTGTATGATCGAAATATATTTCACCTTTTGAACACCAAAAGTTCATATTTCACTCGTGGCTGCGCCACTCGTGAAATATTCCTTTTGGTGCTCACTCGGTGAAATATATTCCGATCTTACACTGAACTAATCAAATATCCTCTATTTAATTCTTTCTGTATACATTGTGCACAATGGCACTTGTGTTATAGACAAGACGTGCTAGTTTGTAAATAGGTAATTTTATGTCAAAGGGTGTAGATGTAGATTGAGGACTGTTATAATTGTCATTATCACATAAACCGCGGTGCAGGAGTGTAATAAGTAGAGGATATTTGTTTAGTTCAGTGTAAGATCGGTATATATTTCACCGAGTGAGCACCAAAAGGTATATTTCACGGGTGGCGCAGCCACGAGTGAAATATGAACTTTTGGTGTTCACAAGGTGAAATATATTTCGATCTTACACTAAACTAAACAAATTTTCTTTTTATTATATGCAAAAAAACGTTTTAAAAAGACAATAAACCTAATACTGAATTAAAAGCGCGCCACATAATAATACAACGTGACGTCATTTACGACGTCACGTCATTAAGTTGGTACCCAGTACTGTCCACGCTGTTATTTCACTGAAACAACGTAAGGGGCTTAAATTCAAAACAGTGAAATTATCAAAGTGGTAATTTTCACTGTTTCAAACACTGAAATTACCAGTTTTATTTCACTGATATATTTCTATAAACCATCGAAAAGCATGTAATAAATAGAGGATATCTGTTCATTTCAGTGTAAGATCGGAATATATTTCACCGAGTGGGCACCAAAAGGTATATTTCACGAGTGGCGCAGCCACGAGTGAAATATGTACTTTTGGTGTTCACAAGGTGTAATATATTTCGATCTTACACTAAACTAAACAAATTTTTTTTATTACATGCAAAGAAACGTTTTAAAAAGACATTAAACCTAATACTGAATGAAAAGCGCGCCAAATAATAATACAACGTGACGTCATTTACGACGTCACGTCATTAAGTTGGTACCCAGTACTGTGCACGCTGGTATTTCACTGAAACAACGTAAGGGGCTTAAATTCAAAACAGTGAAATTATCAAAGTGGTAATTTCACTGTTTCAAACAGTGAAATTACCAATTTTATATCACTGATATATTTCTATAAACCACCGAAAAGCATGTAATAAAGCCATTTATTTTATGCTTTTCAGTGGATTACTGATTTATCCGTGAAAATTATATTTGATAATTTCACAGTGAAAATTATCAAAATATAATTTCATTTTTTTCAATGACGAAACTACTTTTTTAAGATTTTCCCCATGTGGTACCTCAATTTTATTTTTACTGACAATTCTGACAATGTCAGGCTGTTAAAAGAAATAGCAAAGCTGAAATAGATAAATAACTTAAATGTCAAAAGTAATAAAGAGAGAAAACTTACTTCTTTCATTCAAATTCCAATCACCAAATTTCGTCTTTAATTTTTTTTGTTTCGTTTTTACAGTCTGAAAAATACATTCCTTCCCCATGCAAAACTGGTCTTGATGACATTTGGGCATATGAAAGTATCCTACGAGCAATAACTGCCGTATGCTTTATGAAAAATTGAAAGGCATTGACAGCCATCACTCGTAAAATAAGTAAAACAACCCAGTGTTCCGCTAAGCTTCCAAGTTTTCCATTTTCCTAGCTCCTTTTCTGAATGTTTTCACTTCTGTCAACTCTTATTTTTTGTCTGTTACAATCCTCAAATAAGTTTTCTTTCTTTTAAAAAGGTGTATGACTAACAATCCAAATTATATTCCTCTGAATCTTACACAATTATTTTCATCCCATGAAATACACAACTTTAAAAAATGGCTGCCGCTTACATTTTACAAAGCCAGGTCTAATATAAATTCGCAGTAAGAAACAGAAATATGGATGGATGGTTGGACTTTTTCTCCTACAAGAATTGTTTGTTTTTATAATTAAAACAAGCGATCATTCATATTTTTTTAATAAAATGAATAAATATCACCGTCATTTAACCTTGATTGGCGGACTTATTTTTCAGCTCAAGACTTCTTGTTTTTAATGTGAAATTCCGTCTAAATGGGGCTCTCAATGGGGGAAACAAATTTTAATATTAACGTTAAAATTATGGAAATTTCGTTTTAACTTGTTTTTAAGCATAAAATAAAAAGAAAATTTGTCTGTTTGTTGTGTAAGATGTAATTTCATTTCATCTCGTGAACTTTAAAAACAGCATTCTCACTCGTGGCTACGCCACTCGTGAGAATACTGTTTTTAAAGCCCACTCGATGAAATAAAATTTCATCTTACACACAAACAAACAAATATCCTCTATTTAATGAAAACGATATATAATTTTATAGACAATATTACACTTGTGTAATAACACTTTGACGTCACGTCATTTGCACTATAAACATAGCGTTAAAGCGCGCTAATGTTAGCGTTACAGTATAGACGCGTCAAAGAAAAATAACTCTTGATAACAGTTTACCGTTCTTATTTTATATATGTGATAAATAGAATATTATATTCGTGTAGATTCAATACTAAATTTATTGAACTCGTTGAATAAAACAATATTATGCTACGCCTCGGGTAACAGTATTTTCCTCGGGATGATATTTTTACTGTTACCCACAAACCCATGTGTTATTTATATATTGTTGTTATAAATTACCGCTTGCTTATAACCTTTTGGTGTACATTTCTGTGATTGTGTTCCATTATCCGCTGGTTTATAACCTTTTGATGCACATTTCTGTAACTGTGTTCCATTAACCACTGGTTTAAAACCTTTTGGTGTACATTTCTGTAATCATTTTATTTTTTCACTCATCAACTCTTAATGTGCATTGGCCATACATTATACAAAAAAAAATAATAATGAACCATACTGTGCTATTATTTGATTGAGAAATGTTGTGTTGCTAATGAACTACAATCTGAGAAATGTTTTGTTGCTAATGAACTACAATCTGAGAAATGTTTTGTTGCTAATGAACTACAATCTGAGAAATGTTTTGTTGCTAATGAACTACAATCTGAGAAATGTTTTGTTGCTAATGAACTACAATCTGAGAAATGTTTTGTTGCTAATGAACTACAATCTGAGAAATGTTTTGTTGCTAATGAACTACAATCTGAGAAATGTTTTGTTGCTAATGAACTACAATCAACCTGCCAGAATATCATACTATTGTAAAAGGGAGCGGTGATATAGTGGTGTTGTCTTCACAGATATAATTTGGATATTTTCTTTTTTCTTCGCAAATCCATTTTCTTCATCATATGTGAAAACAGTGTATAATTTATAACAAAATACTTGTGTTTCATACATGTCTTATCCAAAAATATTGGTATTAAATTGTTTAACTACTGTCACTATCAACAATACCAAAAGTAGGTTTCAAATTACTTAACTTTATATGTGGTTAGCATCACACTAGATACCGTATTCTGGTATAAACCGGACACGGCGTTTGAATGATAAAATGCTAAAATACTAAAATCTCGCCTTTTTGCCCAACGGAATTAACTAAAACCTAATTCACCTCTTCACACCGATTCATATACAATAATGAATGAAATATGTAAGAATTGGCACAAAAACCTATATTTGTCTATTTAGTGATCATGATTTCTGCAAGCGTCTAGAGATACTGCTCCAAACACTATTATATTGAATTAAATCCTTTCCGTAAAGGCAAATGCGTACATTCAGGAATAAAGTTCATTCAGACAATTTTACTACATGTTGTGATCGCACGAGACATATTAATAACATTTATAAATATTTTTAAACTCGGAAGGATCTTCACCAGCGACATTATAATGTTTAAGATAGAATTAAAATCTATTTAACTTGACGACAATTTAGTTTTATTACTCTCTCGACACAATTATCATTTCTTGCACAAATCTACGTAGTTGGTAATTGAGTTTTATTTCACGGAAATTCCGTGCGATAAAAGCCAAATATCACTTAAGTACCATTCGAGGCGTTCCTAGTTCAGAATACGTTCAAGGAAAGGTTAAGTCGTTTATTTGCAAGATTGCTCACTTGGGATAGCATACGAAATTTATCTTATATACTGTCGTACATATTTCAATGATATACGCTATATCATATAACAGGTTGTTTTTATCGATAGTATTTAAAATATAAAGAATAGCCAATCTCTAGTTGAATATTCGTATTAAGCAACCATACTTCCATTTACGAGTCATAACACATACTGCTTTTCAAGAAAAATAATAATAATAAAAAAAAAAAAAAAAAAAAAAAATAAAGAAATAACAATAACAAAAAAAGAAAGAAAAAATGAAAAAAATAATGATATTACAATTTTACTAAGATGTCATTTATCTTGTGGAATAACGACGAATAATTTTAAGCATTGTTTCTTTTTTATTTAAATGATTAACACTTTCCGCATCGATAGGCTTATTGAACTTGTATTTTACTGTCAATCATTATCTCTCTGCAGACAAAACAGACCTTTGTCAACTCATCTGTAGTTTTTAAGATGATTGTATTAAACTATATAACTTAGTAAAAATGAAATTTATTAAATTTTGTGTTAACGTAGTCTCATCAATATTCAGCATACACGTATAAAACATAACGATTACACAAATAAATTAAGTACATTGCCATTCATAACAAATGAAATACCGATTAAAAAAATGGTACATTTGCACGCTGTCGATTAAATAAAATAAAAATGAAGAAAACGATTGCATGAAAAAAAAATGAAAGCATGTTACAAAATTAAATGTTCTATATAGTTAGATCTTAAAGATACTTTAAGTAAAGACATCATCGCATTTTCCCATATTCCTATTTATATCAGTGAATAGCACTAATAAAATCATTTATATATGATAATATCTAAAAGATTTGCCAAAG